TCTAGAAAGGGAAGTATTGTGAAATTCAGAGCTTTATTAATTAATACCATCCTATTTTAAAATGTCAGTGTTCTCTTGAGTCGATGTTGACACATTTTGTTACTTATTTAGATTCTCCAGCCCACATATGTACACTTCCAAATCAACACAAATCCCTGAATTTCTGAAAAATTCCATATGTAATCCGGGTTGACGTTACCCTTATTTTTATAATGCACTTAGATTTGAAATAAAAACTTGTATATTCTCTGAATGTTAATGAAAAATCCCTAGAAAGTTCATAGCTCCTGGTCAGGAAAGATATGTATGTATTTATTGGATTTGATTTGCTGACTTTTTGCTAACATCTTCTATGTTTTCTGCACCATCCAAAGTAGCTGCAAAAGAGGAGTGGGGAGGAACAAATGGCAGCACTTTTTTATATAAATGTTGCTTTTTATCCATTCTTTGTAAAAGGATTTATGCTTTTCAGGAACCACTGAAACAGCAACACTGGAGACTGTTCTTTCAGGAGAACTTTCTGTTCTGTTTTACAATTTTCTTTTTATTTGACAAGTAAAATATAAAGAGCAGCAGAGGAATTTTTGGTTGGTTGTTTTCTGTTGTTTCCCCCCCTTGCCCCTGTCATTTATTTAAAGTCCTAACCTAGATCATTACCAAATGAATCTAAGCACAACTTTTGGAATGGTTCATGGGTTTGAGATACGTACTGTTAAAAGTTGATAGGGACTACATATGACAGTGTGCCAACAGGCTTATAATAATATGGCACTCTTATGGGGTTTGAATTCCTGACAGACTGCCAACTGCTGTTCATGATATTTGCCTACTAAAATGCTCTTAGTCAGAAGTAATTAACTGCATTTGATCATGTTGTCTTCTGGCCCTCTCTTATGATAAAATCATGGGTCTCCAGAGATGCATCCTTCAGTTTGAACCATAGAAGTTTAGTGCTTTGTGGCAGTGACTGACTTATTCCCTGTGATGATTTGTGGAGTAAATGTTACTGTGATTCCAAACACAGTATTTTGAAAGTCATTTGCTAAAGATCCTCATGGAAGCAAATGCTACTTATGTTCTTCATGTGATTTAGGCAGAACTTCATGTTGTTCCTTTATTGAAAAAACAAGAACAGTGTGTTATGGAGATACTGAATTTTTTTTTAGACATTTTATTAAATTTGTATGTTAGCATGCTGCTGGGAATTGGTGATGACTACCAATGAGATTACAAAAACTTTTAGTCTGCTTTGTAGTCAAGCTAATACAAGTACATTAAGTTTCTGCTTCCATTTCCCTGAATCATAAGTGCTGTTGAAATAACCTTTCTCTTAGAAAATGTTCTTTCTCCAATGGTGTGGTTAGCCTTGCCAGTTCTGTGAGGTTTTACTCTTTATGAGTAGGCTGTTGGCAATACTCTGCGTATGTTGCATGTTGTTTGGGAGCAGTAATCAAGCTTTGATATTTCCATGTTGAAGTAGGAGACTTTTCAATATAGATGCTCAACATTTGTGTATGGCTATTCATATTATTGAGCAGGGAGTTTTCATACCCATTAATTAAACTTTTGTCCTTAAAAATGATGACAGTAATTTAGCCAATTTTTCTTCTATCTACTCTATCGGTAACATGACATGGTAATTTGTAGTTTATCTGAAGAAAAAGTCACATCAATTAAACAGCAATGTGAAAATGATTAATCTAAGCAAACAATATGTTAATGATGCTAGTACATTGTTCTCTGTGTTTCAGGCTGTTAATTACATTAATTACCAGAGATTAACTTGCAGTTGAAATCCTGATTGTCAAATTAATTTGATTTTAGCTTCTGACAGCTCTGACAGTATAGTCTAGTAACAGAAAATAATATTGGTACTTTCTGTCTATAACAGGACGTTTTAGCAGCATCATTAGATGTCTATTTTAAAGTATATAGATTGAGTATTTCAACAATAATACTAACTGTTCTGTGTTGCTTGCAAAATCTGTGGACTTCTGGAAACTTTAATTACTTTAATAGTGAGGACACTTACCGGTCACAGAACATCTGAGGTTGACAATTTTTATAGACTAGTAATCCTGTTTTACAGAGCTGGATTATGACTAACTTTTCAACGTTATTGCAAAGCCTCAAAAAGAGCTTTTCAGGAGAAAAAAACATGTATCTTTTGGCTGAATCATAGTCTGATTCCCTGTGAATATGTTCTTCTCTTCAAAGTTAAAATATTGTTTCAGCATGTCTGTCTTCTGTGATAGCCTTGCCCCAGAGATCTCTGAAGCATTGGAGACACACATACTTTTTAAGCTGGGGAAGACCTAAACTGGTTTATATACATGTAAGTGTCCCTATGCTGGACTGCCATTTGTGGAGTTAAAATGATGTGGGGCTGTCTCTTTCTTCAGCATGGAAATATCCTTTGAAAATAAAGTTTAAATATATTACTGCATTGGCAGGTTTTATTACTATGGAGTGAGTGCATAGAACAAAGATTTTGCTGAATAATGTCTGTAAGAAAGCGACAAAACATAAACACAGAAGTAATACAATGTAAAACTTGTCAGCCACTTGTCAAACTAACCTTATGTATAGGCAACTACTGTGTCTCTAGCAGTGACAAGTAGCTAATCATTATGGAGGAATGTAAGAAAAGAGCATGGACAAAGGGATCTTCCTCCTATGTTGTCACAACTTCTGTATTCCGTACATTGTTGGATTTCTATGAAAACGGTCCATCATATTAGTAGTCACTGACAATGTTGTCCTTGTGAATTTGAACCCATTTATACTTCTGGCCTCCAAAACATGTTGTGGCAATGAGACTTGTATTAACAATCTGAAATTTAATCTGTGTTTCCTGGAGTAAATTTATTGTTTCAGTGATTTCAGTTGCGACTTAATAAAACTAGGATAAATCCAGTATGAGACTGATTGGTTCTTGTGAAATTGTCAAATCCATTTTATAAATTCAAGGATTTGAAATAAAGCATATGTGTTAAATTAGCACAGTTATTGAAAACAGTAAGAGGGTATCTTTATAACAGGTGTAGTAGTTAGGACCTTAGATTCTCATAGAATGCAGTTTCTAGTTCTTGACATAAACATGTGTTGTTTGTGATTTAAACCCAGTTGACAGCCAACTACAACTCAGCCTCTTGCTCACCCTCCCCCACCTGAGGAATGAGGAGAGAGTTGAAAAAGTAAAGGTAGACTTGTAGGTTTAGATAAAACCAGTTTAATAATTCAAATAGAATAAACCAATAACAATAATAGAAAGTACAAGTGGGTAATGCACAATGCAGTTGCTCACCACCCACCTACTGATACCCAGCCTGTACTTGGCTAGCAATTCCAAAATACCAAGATCCCACAATTGCAATCCCAAAAGTGAGAGAGAACCACCTCCCCTTCCCGACTGACTCTATATACTGAGCATGACATTACATGATATGGAATATTCCACCGGCCAGTTTGGGTCTGGTGCTCCAGCCGTGCTCCCTCCCAGCTTCTAACATACCTGCTGATGGGCAGGACATGGGGAGTTGGAGAGATCTCGATGTCTCAGCAACAACTGAAAACATCATTGTATTATCAACATTATTCTCATATCAAATCCCATACTGAATCCAAAAGACAGCACTATTCTAGCTACTAAGAAGAAAAGTTGACTCTATCCCAGCTGAAAACTGGGACTGAGTTGTATGAGTACTTAACAAAATTTGTATATACATTTTCTTTTGCTTCTAGACAAATATTTCTAAGGAATGAACATTTAATAAATATAAAACAAGGGAGGAAGATATGTAGTGTTTTGCAGAACTCTCACACAATATACCTGGAAAGATGTTACTGAATGAAAGTAAATCTGCTGGAAAGGAGGTCTTGCTTCTCAAGATTATCTTTGGCAAAAAAAGAAGGAAGTAACCCAGTTGAAAGTGAATGAATATTTTCTTTCATTCAGCGTTTTACATTGAAGAGAAAAGCAAGAGGATTTATTGTTATCACTGAGAACTTGTACAATTGCATTGCCTCAGCTATGTATAGTTGCATTTTCCTCTTGTATGCTGTATATTTGCTACTGCAGGGAGTAAATAAACCCAGAATATGTGGACACATCCCTAAGGGTCTAGCACATGCATTTTAGGTTAAATTTTCTCTGCTGATGATGCGGTTAGTTTTATTTCACAGTGAGTTTCGCTGAGCAGCAGGGCACCTACCCTAATTCTGGAAATGTCTTCTGTCAGTGTTGCAAGCAGAGTGCAGTTCAGCCTGTCCAGTGTAGTATGTGGGCTCTGCACAAGGGAACATTTTCATAGAAGATCAATGTTTGTGTGTGTAACAATACCCTCCTGTGAATTTCAAGTGAACTACATAAAATTATCTCAGATTTGGTACCTTTCTGTTCTAATTCACGGGTTTTCTCCCCAAAATTTGTCCTGAATACTAAATCATATTAGATGAATAAAAAAGAGTTTTGAGAGCTTCTTGTAAAATGCCTATACTCACACAAACAAAACATAAGAATCCATCTAGTCAGTGAAGGGTCGGATTTATCAAAATAATGTTTTGGACCTCTGTCTCATGCCTGTGTTAATCTACTCCTCTCTGAGTATTTCACAGACCAAGGCTGGGGTTTGTGTTCTTGGAATGTAACTTCATAATTTTTATTCTAGTTAGATTGTGATTCTAGTTAGAATTGCAACAAAAGCAGAAAAGCATTGGAATAATTCCTGGTTTTATTGCTTTGAGGACGGATTATTGTATTTTTAAAGGGAAAGCCACTTAAATGAGTAAGTGGTTCAAATAAAGACAAAAGATAAATTTTACCACAGTATGTTTTAGGGGTTTTCCCAGTCAAGATGAGATCTTTTAAAATTAATATTCAGCTTCAAATAACTTTCAAAATATATTGCAAAGATTTTGTTAAATACAGCAGATAATTGCTGTCATACAATAGTAGTTGATAAGCAACAAAATGAAAACATTTTTCCACCTCTCATCAGGTTGTTTGGCTTCCTGTCAATTTAGGATGAAAACCATCTTGGCACAAGTTCAAAAGAAGATTTTTCAGTGAAGTGTAAGTATAAGTTGTGATTTCCTGTTATATGTACTGTCAATACGTATTGAATTGGAATTCTTCTTGAACATGAGTCAGCATGTAGGAAAAAGGAGCTTCTTCCAAGCACAAATAGTCTCTCCTTCACCTTCCATTTTATTAAAACATTGTACATGTGCCATTGAATGGCTGGAATGCCAATTCTGTGGGTACTATTTTCATCAATTAGGTTTGATTTTTTTTTTTCTTCCTTTCATGTACTTCGTATCTTTTATTTTTTACACCTGCGGTTGCATTTCAGCATGAATAAGAGCTGTTGATTGAACATTCTTCACTAAAAATAATAATTCTAATACTAAATTACCCTAAAGTCAAGGCACTATAAGAAGAACTTTCATCTGAACTAACTCATCTCAGAGAAGAGCTGTTCACTGGAGCAGAGAAAATGCAATAAAACCTGTTGTTTCCATTACAGAAAAAAATTAAGATGACTATTTCAATGGAACCATAAATGAAAAATAATGAGAACACTGTTAGCCATAAAAGTGTCCTATTACTGATGACTTTTCAGGCAGGATAAGATGTTTTAAAGATGAACTTGTAAAACTGCAAGCTTTCTTTTCTACCTAACTCCATTAACACATTCACATATATTCCTGAGAGTTTTGAACAAGGAGTTAAAAATGAAATTGCTACGAAATTCTGCAGTTAAAAACTACAGCAAAATTTTTTCTTTAATTATGATGAAAATAACATCTTTAATTAAATAAAGTTTGCATTTTTTTTCTAAAAGCTACATTCATTTCTAGAAGTAACTGTACCAAAATTGAAAGCAATCATGTAGGTAGTAAAGTACTTATTTTAAATGTATCTGCGGATAATTTAGTGCAAACCTTAAAACATAATATTTTTATTAATAAATGTACTGTTGTTTTCCACTAGAAATTGTGAATTTCTATGTTTCAAGCAGATGACCTGTTCCCATTGCAAGAGTTACTGAGAATGTCTTTATTTAGAATTGTAATAAAAATATTAATACATTAAAAAGACAAGATAAACTGCCATCTGGTCCAATCAGTAATACAATCTCCCTTTCTATAATAGGTACTTCAAAAGTAGGAAAAAAGAGAGTTTGTCTGGATTTAAACATGTTCATTTTAGGTTTGTACATTGCAAACACAAATTAAGAACAGCAGAGGAAAAATCTAAACTTTAGAACCCAACTATTTAAAAGCAGTTAAAGGAATAGCTCAGGAAGGGAAGTAATATCTCCATGAAGGAGAAACATATATCTATTTGGACAGGGGGAAAAAATCAACATTGCAGCATGAACTGCTTTTAAATCTCATGCCTACATGTGCATATAATAAAATAAAGTGCCTATTCAACTGATGTGAAGAAGTCACAACCTCTCAGGGGCACTGGTGCATTCATTTACTTGCAGATTTATTGAAGGTTCTAATTGGAAGCCAATCTCAAAGGAAAAAAGTAGCATTCATTTTATGAGGCACCAATTTTGAAGATGTTTGGATTTATGGAGTTTCATTCAGTAGACTATGTAAGCAGAATGTTAGTGGTTTTCACTTCCCTCTTTTTTTTCAAAATCCATCATAGGAAACCAGTAATTTTAATTCTGCAATGAAAAAGTTAATGACAGCCAAAGAAAATTCCTTTTCATGTTATGATTTTAAGGGACAGCAGTGTTGGTCTGCCATGAAGAGGTTACAGCCACTTCATTATGTCCCTGTTCTTATGGTGCACAACCATTTCAAATTCTATTTGAAGAAAGTAATGTGTCATACTTCCTTGCAAACCTAAGGCACAGTGTTGTCTTGGCATGATGATTTTCTGTTGCTTAAATATTTTTGCCTTTTTAGATGTAAATTCAGTTTTAGAAGAAGGTAGATAAAGACAAGCTTAACATCTGCGTTTGTTTCCACAGAGACAGGGGAGTTAGGCTGAAAAACCTGTATCCCCAGTAATGCCTTGCAATAATTGCTGTTACTGAAGGATTAACTAGTGACATGACACATTCTCTGGTTTCTATCACTTTGTTACAGATCTCAAAGGGTTACCGTTCTATAATTTGAACAGCACAATTCTAGCATTGAAACTCTTCACTTTGCAGCGTTGAATTAATCTCCCGTGTTTCAGTAAAGGAGAACAATTTCTAAAAGTTAATCACGTCTTCAGGCTGTGAAATTTTATGAACTTTTTTCCCTTGACACTGAAATTTGCCTGGAATATTCATGAGCATTTTCATAATTTCATATGAGCAATGTTTGGTGGTTTTGCTGTTAGACATTACTGAGTTGGTTTTGTTTTGTTTTGTTTTGTTTTTTTTTCTTTTCTTTTTTTTTTTTTTTTTAATTATGCGAAGATACAGGAATCTCCTCCAGTGAAAAATGCTGGCATTTACTGAGACAAATTGTTGTTGGTGTTTTGTTGTTTTGTTTTTTTTTTTTTTTATAGTAGTCTGATTGTTTCTGAAAGAAACTGAGAGGAGATTTTGTACTTATGTGCAGTTGTGAGCTAAACTAAGCAAGATGTACAAGGCACCAGATAAAAAGTTTGACCTCAGTGAACACTGATATTAGTCTTTTTAAAATATAATAAGAACAACAGACAAAATGGAACTTGACTGTATATGTGTGCATACTTACAGTGTTTAAACTTTGGCCACATCATCCTTTTTTCCAGGCTTTTGGTTTGGTTTGGGATTTTTTAATTTTAAGCATGACTGAAATTTTGTCTGTCTTTTGGTTACTTTCCATGAGGAAAATAGCTTACTGATTATATCTGTTGGAATTCAACAAGAAGTGTTGCTTCCAGAAAGTTTCTGTAAATGCCAAAGAGCAGTCTTGTTCAAAGCAGGATTTGAGCTGTAGTATTTGGTAATGGTCAACAGCAGGGGGAACTCCAGAACAAAAACCTGATCCTTTCTGAAGGTTGCCTGACCCTTAGGAAAGGCAGCCTCTGCAGCTCACTGCAGCATGCCCTCAAGACTGTCCCAGTCATCTCACTGAGAATTTCTTGCTTCTGCCAGGCAGCAGCTCTTGGCTGCACATGTCCTGATGATTTCTGAACTCAACAGTGTTTGGGTGCCCCTGATCAGTTTTCAAGCTTTTACCATTCAGCTTATTAGCAGTATCATTCCCCTATGTAAGTGAGGAGTTCCTGCCAGTTTTGAAACCAAATCCTGTCTTTCCCCACCTCCCAGTATAAGCACATATTTAGTTCCCCAAGTGGTTGGAGCAGTTTTGGAACAAATATGTAGGAGTAACTCTATGATAAGTCAGTTATCAATGATCAACATTTTAAAAGTATTAAAATTAATTTGCTTATATAAAGCTATCGCAAATCAAATACGTCCTTAGCTTATCAGAAGAAAAGTGTTTTCATTAGAATAGCATTGATATAGGAAAGTAACATAAGACAAAAGGAGTTATCAGATATAGATAAAGCATTTCAGTATTGCCATGTTATTACTTAATTTAATTATTATTTTATCACTGACAGAAACAGTGGAGTGGGTAGTGAAAACTACCAATTTGTTACGTCCAAGCTTCAGATTAGCTTTCTTGAATCACTATGAGTTTGAGAGAGACAATCTTGCTGATCACTATAGACTAAGTTTTAGTCTAACAATCAGGTTATTACAAATCCAGTTACAATAATGTTAACACTTGTAGTTCAGTTCAGTATATTCAGTTAAAATAAGATAAATACAAAATTTCCAAGCATCTATCCCTTTTCCTGATGTTCTCTTCACCCTTCCCCTGCCCTTTGGGTTCCCAAGGCTCCATTTGGAGGTCTGAAGAAGGGCTGCAGACCAAGATGACTTGCTTTGTGGTCTTTCCCAGGGATGAAATAGAGGTTCACCAGCCTGTAGGTTTCATGTACAGTTCTTTCGGTCCTTTTTGAAGATGGTTGCAACACGTGCCTTTCTCTCATCCTTTCTGTGGATCTGTGTTCCCGGCTACTGTGGCCGGCCCCAGGGATGGCTCCCTTGCCCTAAGCACCCTGGGCAGATTCCAGCTCCTGCAGTTACCCCAGTGTGTGTCATGAACACAGGGCAGGGCAGCAGTTGGGCTGCAGAGTCGGAGGCAGTGTGCAGCAAAGCCTGTCTACCAAGGCCAGTGGCAAGAGAGGAAAGAGGTGCTGAGGAAGACAGTGCTTCATTATTGTACTGGCATGGACAAGTAGCTAGGCAATGTGTTGGTGACATGCTCAGTTAAACACTTGGCCAAAACTGTGTGAAGTCAGTGTTCATGTCTGAATTAGATCTGGCTTTGGGTAGATACTGGAACATCTCAGTTTAATCAAGAACAGTAATTTGTTGTTTGTAGGTGTTCAAACCGTTTCCCTAGCCAGTGGATTACTTGGTGTCCTGCTACATTGGGATGCCTGACATTCAGGACTGCGGCTTCTGGCCAGAAATTGTCCATGTGGAACTCTCGGAGATGCTGCTTGTGAGAGACTGGGATTTTTTTAACCTATTTTTGAAGCTATCTTGCACTATCTTTACTGTCTTTTGCTTTAAATAATTTTCTTCTGTCCCAAATCGGTAGCACTTAATGAATTTCTAGAGAGCAATCATTTTCCTCTTGGCCTTGATTTTGTTAAGCTCCTTTAGTTTTCCTGAACGAAAAGTCCCTGCAATTCCATTAATATATTATTGGCATTTTTGGGGTCTTATTTGAGTTCAAATATATTGGGCAGATTGACTGACGCTGTACAGAATATTCTAGACATTAAAGACATTCTTTCTAAACATATAAAGACATTAATTATTTTTTCTCCTTTCTTTAAGGTAGTCTCTAATAAAAACTGTAGATAAGACAAAAACTGATAGTGAACACAGTCGAAGGGAGTTGCAAATGGATGACCATGAGGGCAAACTCTGGTAGAATAATCTGTTACTCCTTTGTAAACAGAGCAAAGGACACTTTAATATTTCTGTTCCAAATAATTACTAAAATGCAGCTTAAAACACTTGTAGGTATTCACCAGGTTTTTGG